CCACTGGCCTCGGAACCTTGCGAAGAATTTCGAGGAACATTCACCCGCTAAGCAACCACGAATCATCCGGAAGCAAATACAATTGCCTGTGGCTGAGACGCGTCTTCTTTTGAACGCGTCGCGCAGGACACGGTGCTTGGAACTCCCAACAAGGAAAAGGCTGATATTTTGCCACCGGGAGTCTGATCTTGCGGGCGGCCCAGCAGCTGGACCTCAAATGTGCCGCTCGGACCTTTCGTAACAGCTGTCCGTGTTGCCTGTAGTTCTGGGGCGACATCTCGATGGTGTGATCAACGAGTGGACAACACGAGCTTGCCACCACCGCGCTGCAAGATGGTTCCGCGTGAGAAAAACGAAATGGTCTCTCTATTGACTGTCGCCGCCGCCACTTGCTCTTCACCTTAGTCATAGAGCCAAGGAGGAGACACGTGTTCCATCCGATGGTCTTTTCGATGGACGGCCCTGCCTGGATCCGCGGCACGGCTGCCACAACAGGTCTGCTGCGAAGACCACCGCTGAGATGTCGACTGTGTAACGCGCCATGCTACCGACGCCAAAACCTATCTTCCTTCATGAGCAGCGTACGTCAGAAGCCTGAACTCCTAGACCCTGTTAGAGATGGCTTACCGATTGAGATCTCCGCTTCATGCCTTTGTACTCACCCTGCTTGTCCCACCGTGTCTGGAACGGATATCATTTGGAGACGTGGTATGCCACTTCCGTGATGCTCAGAGCCAGATATTTTACACAGAAACTCGCAAGACATTCAGCATCCAGACCGCCGCCAAGCAGCTCGTTGTCGTCGCCGCCACCCGTCGAAGTTTCGGCGAGTGGCAATTCTACCCCTTTGTTCAACGGCAGAGATCTTGGGTTGCGGAGCGGTCAGAATACCTAAAGCCTTTTGCTGCTACTCCCACGAAGATGAGGCGTCCGCCTTTGTCACTTGTGTGGCTGATCAACGTGCTCGGCCTGCGAGCAATGTCACCATGAGTATGGAAGCATGGTCGGGACATTCAACGTTGCAAGGAATCCAACATCAGACCATCCGACTCACCGAGTGTCAAAGCCATCCAAGAGCCAGTCCGTTTCGTCGGCCTCTGATCAAATCGTCCGCCTTGTCCTTTTTTCATCGACACGATTGGACCATTCTCCACGTGAACACCAGGTCTATCCCGTGCAGCAGTACTCGTCTGTAAAGGCACAATGCAAGTACTTCGTTCGTATTACCGATGCACCGCTATCTGAAATGGTTAGACTGTGATGAGAATGACGACGTCTTCCAGCACTGCTCGAACTTGTACAGGCGACGGCGGGGAGCATGCACAGGCGGGGATGTAGAAGGAGCTGTCACGGTGGTTATACACGACAATCATTACTTCAGGTGCGTCTCGAAACTCACTTACAAGCGTTACTACTTCACGAAGTCGTTGTATTCAGGGCCTATCACCGTTCTGCCTTTGAGGCTTATGTAATGATGTAGAGAACGCACCGTAAACGGAAACTTACAGAGGCTGTTGGACAACAGCTGCAAACATCTCCCCGAGCACGTCCCGTTCAACTTTCGGGTCTTGATCAAGGACATCCCTGAGCGTTCTAGAAGTCCACATTCAACGCCTTGCTCGCAGTACCGCCTCCGCTTCCGAAACCAGTAGCATATGTTGGCGCATCGGTGAGCGTCACTGGAAGGACAGAGGAGAGCCTGAGGGGAGCCTCGTGTTCGTCGACGAAATAAGTGGGTGTGTATTCAAGACATATAGACACTATGAGAGGAATTGAGGCGGAAGTGGCTTTGAGCTTCTCCTAAGCAGCTTACTCTCCAGTATCTTCGCTACTGCCGTCATCCTTCTGTGGAACTTATCCGTTGATTTAGGTGAATCGCGTGTCAAGCGGGCGGTACGACCCATGTCGATGGCGAAGTTGAAAGTGAAGCTCGGGACTCGACCATCAATACCCATATGATGCGACCATAACGAAAGACATTGTCAAAGAAGCGGTTCCTGAGCGCCAGCGCATGCCTGTCAGATTTCTTGCGCTGCCATTCGTAATGAATCTCACCTCACTTGATCGCGCTCTTTTGTGATATTGGTTCCTCCACGTATCAGCAGTCGCTTTCAATATCGCGATAGAGATCAATGCCACAGGCGAACTGCATAGGAAGCTTACTTCGACTAATCCTCGCATCACCCGTTATATCGTCCGCTCACACAGCCACCATCAGAATGCTCTGCTCTCGGTGAAGTCCCGTGGTCGCGAAGAGCTGGTGATTCCCTTTGTAATGTGTACATCTGTCTTTTTTATGTCGTGCATTATCTTCGAGGTTTGGCTTGTCAAGTCAATAGAATGCCTTGATCAGCTCACAGACATCCTGTCCACACAGCCTTTCTCACCCAAATCAACCAAGCTGTGCTGTGTTTACGCGGAAATGCTGTAAACTACGGGAGTTCAAGATCTCACTGTGAATGTAGTCTCTCAGGCCTCCGTGCCGAGCTATCAATGCCATCTATCAATGCTATAGCTATACGTCGCAGCAGTGGACAAGCATACAACAGCTGTTAAGCAACGGGTAGAGTGGCCTGTGCAGCGTGCATATTCATCAACTCGATGGCTCGTCCGGAATAGATGGGCGCGAAGCGTTGCAGAGCAGATGTGTGAAAACTCGATTGCAGATGCAACTATGTAGTGAGGACGTTCATACGAGAAACATGTCAAATGAGGTCTATAGCACGATACGCATCTGCTGACGTTGTGCGGGAAATAAATCTGCGATGAGACGGACCGTATGAAGCTTGATGTGTCACTTACGAACAGCAAGTTAATCTGACAGCTCGGCTTGGAGACCCATTCTCTCCCCTCACATATCGTTCTCTCCACCCGACAGCATCTCTTCCTCGACTTCGTCTATCCCCTCTTCCTCGCCCACGTCCTGACGAGCATCAGCAACGGCAGCAGCATCGTCTGCCATGCTGCGCGGTTCGGCAATAATTTGATCATGTTCCATAGAGTCTTGCAGGTGAGCGCGACCGGTCTCCTGGGCTCGTTCGGTGCTGCTAAGGATGTTCAGTTCGAACGACATGTCCTCGACATCCCCTTGTGCCTCGAGCCCACGCTGCGATCGGACAAAGGAGGGCGTCTGGGACTGCTCTCGACGTGTGGACCGCGCTGCAGCTCGGATGTTGAGGTAAAAAAACGCGAGATCAGAACCGGAGTGAGTCTGTAGACTTGTCAGTGTCTCATTGGCAGAGAAAATGAAAGAGGATTGCTTCACGAGTATTGCAAACAATTGACAACATTTGCAGCATTCTACCACGTGCATAGTCACATATGACAGAGTAGTCAGGATCTAGCGGAAGACATGGAATGGACGGAAACAGCATGCACTTACACCGTCCAGGAAGACCAATACAGTTGCAAGTAAGTTCAGTAGTAGTAGAGCTCTGGAAAATATGCTTCAGACGTTGCCAGATTGAGTCCGACTTCATTTCTCACGTCAATTGAATCGTGCCTGTGAAAATAGTGGACGCAAATGTTATTCGAGTTCGCAGACCCATAGTCAATGTCTGATAACCGTACCGTCTCTGAGGAGTAGTGCCGCAAGTGACGGATTCCTCGTAGACAGGATGTCAACGGTGCCCAGTATATGGTGGACATACAACCTGCGCCAGAGAATTGCGAGCGTCATGATGTTGACAATTGAAATACAGATATCATTGATTACTTCCATTGCGGTGCAATGGTCAAAGGAGTGTGGAAAAAATCATCCCTGAGTTCGGACTGACATCTGTGGTAAACAGATAAGCAAATACGGATTTATTGAAGACACGGGCATGCATACTTATCCCTGATATCTTGCGCTGAACTTGAACTGTTGGACTGGTTGCATATAGCTGTCCCATTGGACCAAGACACTGAATATGCCTGTTGGATTAAGCCTTCACATAAATTCAACATAAGCTAATCAAGAATGCGTCCTAATCAGCCGAAAGCGTACTGATGTAGACGTTTGCGACCACATTGAAGACCACAAGCAGCGTGAGGAGCATAACAGGCCATCGGCTGCCACCCGTTACGCCGTTTACTCGCAACACGGCATTTACTCGCAATAATGTAACCACTTGGCTACGTTTGAGCTGTGATGATGTGTCGTAAAGCATGCCACCCTATCCTCTGAGATTATTCCAATTAGTATGAAAAGCAGATTGCTCGTCACAATGTTTGCCATACAACTACAATATAACAATAATCAGACACGAATAATATGACGACAGGGAAAACTTGCCTCTACAATATTTTTAAGTAGTAGTTGTGTCCAGACGAGACAATATTGATTCACGTACCGTTACTGTGTCAAGATTCATGAGCGACCAAACGGAAATGATCGCATAGCTCAGTGCAAGTGTCCTATTGGCAAAGAACAGCCACGCAGAGAACGATCTCTCGCCCCAGAACAGCTGGACCTCCTGGCCAAATGTGATGGCATGATCAAATAGTATGAGCGCTGTGTGAACAAAAATCGTCGATGGTCAGCCCGTAATAAGCAAGAAATGTCTGACTGGCCTGTACCCGCGATAATAGCATAGTTTTGTGTAAAGCTGGTAATATACTGTTCAATGCAGTACAGTTCCAATTGTTTGAAGAGACGCACCTTTCGTCCAATACGGCGATTGCTTCAGAGGTGGCGATAGACATGCCTGAGTAGAGAGAATGGAGGTCATATTGAGGTGATGGACACTCAGCCTATTTATAACGCCATATTCCATCATGAGATAACGTTACATCACCCGCATATCAACATGCGGTGTGAGCCAGCTCACTTGCGACGGGGTCTTCAAACAAATAGCGGCTTGGAACTCATGACTCTATCATGCCTGCATGAGTACAATGGCAACTGAGCGAGACATGCACGTCGGAATGGAAGGGTCGCTCGGCTCATATGATATGAGATCATGAGGAGGGCTGTGTTGTTGGTCAGTTGCTGTGATGTAAAGATTGCAACAATATAAATGAATTGAATCACGGGAAGTATCGGACGAATCTCATGGCAACGTTCAGCCGAGTCAGTGATGAACGTAGCACGCGTACAGGGGATTCACAGAAGCAAGGATAGAATATGCCCCATGGTCAGATGCTTGCATGAGACATACCGGAGTAGGCCAGAAACTGTGGAATGACTGATTGATGATTTGACCCTGAAGACAAAACCGGTGGTTCATTTATTGAGTGCTCTGTTCTGAGTGAATCGTTGAGAAAGGAAGACGAAACACATGATGACGGAGTTCGCCAGTGCAAGAGTGGCTGAGACGAAGAGATGGCGGCATGCCTTGACTACCGTATGAGTCAGTATGGGAGCCTGATTATGATTCGGGTATCGTACTTCTGCAGCGTGGCACTTGAACTTGGATGGCCATTGAAGAAGACGCGCTTGTGGCGTGGAAATGGTGCGGGAGTGCTCGATCATTCTGCCACGTGGCACGTGTCCGGCCGATCACACATATTTCAGGCTGTGCGCTGCAACGACAGGTAGGGAAATTTATGCTTTCGACGCTCGCATAGAGCGACCCCTCAAAGAGCCAGCGCTCTGCACAGAGGGGGAGACGTTTGTAATGAGCCGTTTGAATTATGTATGACCCGGTTCTTAGAGACGAACATATTCCCAATGCGAGCTTCAACAATGAACATCCACTCCCGGGTTCGCATAGTGCGTGGCAAGCTTCATGGAGGATCTTCCCAGCACATTCATCTGTGCTGAGGCCAAACGTCGGTACGTCGCCTCATCAAAGTCTTACATTGCATTGAGCAGCGGAAGCCTCGGCGAACGATTCAGCAGGTATTTAACCTACTCCCTTCTAAACATATCCAAAAGACTCTTCATAACCAGACAATCAGGTTTAGCAAATATCCTCAAACAATGCTGCCTTATTCATAGTCTCAGTGAGTCCATAGAATCTGTGTTATCATCTCTCTCCACCTCACTCTATGCATCACATATCATCCACTGGTCAAAACATGCGGTACCGTTGCTTAGTACCTCGATACATCTGTCAGCGCTCGGTCGCTCAGGTCCGTTTTATTTCGCAAGGCATCTTCGATCTGCTGTGAACTGGGCTATTCTTGCGACCAATGCGGGCGGTGCTCTCAGGGGTGATGTTTGATGTCGGCATCGATGAACTGGGCTGTTCTTGTATCTGATTCGACGCTGTGATTCGACGAACTCGCTGCGCACAGAAAGGGTCGGAGCTGAGGCCGTCAACCAGTAGCGCAGTCCATCCTCGCGTCGCAACAGTTACTGTCGTCCAACGCCGAAGCAGTATGTCCCCGCGAAAGCCGTTCAATTCGTCCATTGGGTGTTCTCTCAATGACTCTTCGGTGCTGGTCGGGACGTAATTTCGTACAATACCCCCATTTGCACTCCATATGTATGCAGCTCTAATTTTGAAGGGCCTGTCCTTTGGCTTTTATTGGCTGTCAAATTGTGGAAGGCCCAGTGCTGTTGTGAAGAGTGCCGGGACAACTCAGCCACGTAACCGGGCATCTGCGTTTTCTCATTGGGCGCTGCTTTTCCGTCATTGCACAATGGTAAACTCGCACGTCGGATGCACGCCTGGGTTGACAAGATGCATATTGACACTGACATGAACATGGGTGATCAATAAAATATGATGTGAGAACTCTGTCTTGGTGAGCTATTTTTTTGATATTGGTCAGTCACGAAATTTACCTAGTCGCCTGCCAGCCTGGCCTTTTTGTCACCACAATTTTCTTGTAATTCCACCGTATCGTGCATGTTCACCCACGCAAAGTGCTCAATTCGAGCGATCTGCGGTCACAACAGGATTTCTATGTGAAGGTGAGTGGACAGCTCATTCCAAATAACAAAGTAATTTGGCTATTGACAGAATGTGGACGCGAACGGCTTACGTAATAATCGTCGCTGCAGTTCGACACCTTTTAGGAAGTAGTTTACGTAACGTTCGCCCCTCCTCCGCGCTGCCCCTGTTGAGCCCTGTTGAGCTTTCTTGCTTTCTATCCGCTCACGTCGCTCGATGGCGTTTTCTACGTACCTCCTCGCGGCAGTGCATGGTGAGTAGTCTGTAATGATTTCGACGTTGATTTGCAGTGTTTCTCGCTGTTAGCGTGTACTTATTGCTTTATATATGCTCATGTCGCTTAATTATGTACTTCCTCGCGGCGGTGCATGGTGAGTAGTTGGCATTTATTAAATGGTCTATGCTCTGATTTTGACGTTCGTTCACAGCGCTTCTCACTATTAACGTGTTCTTATTCAACGTGCTCTGTTTCTTTATACCTCGGCCGCCGGTTGCACATTCGGGACTCGGGAGACATCCTAGAGTGTGCACAGTCGCATCCCTCAATTGGTTACTGCTCTCCTCCGGTTGGAGGTAGTATTCATAGGTCATGCATATGCTCGACAAATGATATACATGGATTTTCGCCTCGATACGGATTGCCTGTCCTGCTGTCTCGTCGTTTGTCAGTGACGTTCAGAGGTACGCAACCTGTGAGTTCCCTCGATTCCACGTGGTCCTCGAATGTTTCATCGATCGTGCTTGACGTGCCTGCCACTGCCTTTATTGTTCTTTGCTCATGTACTTCCATTGCACAGTTTGACCGATCTCGCTCAAATGCATCATATACATGGCAGACATGACACAATTTATCAAGGTGGGAAATTGTGTGCGAATGTCGACTGATTTCTTACACATGTGACAAATATTTGCAACTATGGCATTTCATGCTGAAAATGTTCCACTTTGGCTGTGAATGTGAACTATTTGCGATTTAAATGCTACATTGGCAAACCTTTGCCGCAAATGTAAGACATCAGCCAACATTCTCACACTATTTTCCACATTGATAAATTGCATCATGTCTGCCGTGATAGGAAGAGACCATCGAAAACATACGGTGATCGGTTTGGAGTCTATTGTTCGGGCATCAATGTAGTTTGGCTTGTGTGTCTGCCATTGCAGTGTTCAACTTTGTACATGATGGTTTGCACAAAGTGAGTTCAGAAGGGATATGTACGATGCACTGGCATCTGTTGGATCGATTTCCAGTTGTAAGTGGACAGCTTCGACGCACAGAAAGAACTAGGTACTTATTCGCCGGTGTTCATCATTGTGACTTACCTGCTCTGCGCAGTGGATTGGAATGCATTATTATAGACATGCCATTGAAAGATCTGGTGTGCAGGCTCGATTTTGCATCGCTTGTTTCAGTTGCAACTGCACATGGACTAATTGCTCCTGGGAGTGAGTGGACGTCCACAATCGTCATGAATGTGATCACCACTGACACCATCATCCCCACTGTTGAGAAAGCTGAACCTCACAATCGAGGCTCAGGGACAAGCCGAGGTACCGAGGCCCTCACAAACGAGAGTCCGGACCAATGTGGCTGAGGGATTAGATAATATTTCCAAATGTGTACA